GGGTGGGGGTGGGAGTGGGAGTGTGAATCGGAGTGCTGTTGTTATGGATTGAATGGTAAAAGTGGGTGCTGCTTGGATGAGATGATACGGGAGCTCCTTGAGCTGCAGTCTGACTCTGAAGTGCCATTCCTAGACAACCACCATAAGGATGGGAATTATTCATGGACATTTGCTCCTCCATGAGCACCAGCTCCTCCACAATGCTGTCCTGGGTCAGGTCATCATCAAATGAAAAGAAGTTTTCGTTTGACTGAGGGACTGTATGCTCAAACTCTTTCAGCTCAGACTGCAGAGGTAACTGATTTGAAGACTGTGCTTGTATTTGACCCAAGGAGGAGTCCTGGATCTGGCTCTGTAACTGCTGGTTGTACGCATCCTGCTGTATACCTTCACAGTGCACTGGCTCCCATGCTGATTCCTGTAAGTCGCTAGAGCCAGAGTGCCCTGCAATAGTCATAACACTGATATCTTGCTGCTGTTCACAATTCACAGATGCAAAGTCGGAGGTTTTGGTGATACGGTGCCATGTATTTGGGTTAAAGCTGCCATCAGATTTTGAATCATCTTCTATGATAAACATGTTTCCTTCCAATTTTACTTTTATATCTGGAGATGATGCTGATGCAAGCTGCTGTCCTAAAGTAGAATCACTGGTATTTAAACTGGTGCTCAAAGAAAGGTCTGTTGCCAAGTTTGCTGCAGCTGCAGAAGGTGCAGGTACATTCACAGGTACCTTGCTGGGAACTTGAGCAAGTGTTGCTGTGCTGTCACTGTTAGCTAACAATCCAGCCTTCACAGGCTTCTTAACACTGTTTGCTTTTTGACCCTCCACAGCATTACCAGCTGAAAGCTGCTCCACCAGTGGTTTCTTTACAGGTGGTACCTGGGAATCCTGAACTGTAGAAGGTTGTCGCTTTCTTGGACTTTTAGTGCATGTTTTGTCTTTAATCGTAGACTCACCAGTAGGAGGTGAACCGATGCTGGTGCTGGACAAGTTTTGACTGGCAACTGAGAGCTTTAGAGTGCTTTGATTATTGCCTGCTGAAGAAACTGGTGTGATCTCATTAGACTGTGTTTTATATTTGGTCCCTGCTTCTTCAGCTGCCTGATCACAGCCCTTAACTGGTTTTGCCTCCACAATATCATCAGCTGAAACCTTCAACGTTGCAACTTCAAAATTAATTAGTTGAGCAGAAGGCAGGTCAGGGTTTGCCTTTATGGATTTAGACATGTCAGAGCTCTCTTGGCCCTGTACTGAGTTCTCATCCAGCAATGCTTCTGGTTCCATTTTGATCTTGACTGCAGGTGCAGCTACAGCAGTGCTAGGCTTGGATCCTGGAGACTGAAGTGAAACAACAGATCCATTTTTGATCTGTGGACCAGTCCTCCCTTCTTCCACTGCTCCTGCACTACTGCTAACTGAAGGCGTCTGTTTGACGGGCACATTACTGCTGCTTGGGGCAAGAGATATTGCTGTCATTTTTACGACATTTAAGGAATTCACATGTGGAGCTGGCACAACAGTCTTGATTGGGCTACTAGTAAAGAGCACCGTTGTGGGAGAGCGGATGGTGAGAGCACTGGTATTTGCTGGCTTCGGTAAGATCTGCGGGTAACGATGCCGGGCAGAGCGGTCACCAACTGGGCTGGCGGGAACATTCTGGGGAGTCTTTGGTGACTGCTTGACTGATTGCATGTGCTGAGTGACCACCTGAACATTGAGTGGCAGGACCTTGCTATCAGACGATCCCATAGGACTTGGGGACGTCACCAACTGCCTGGTCCTTGGCACCTGTAGAGAGAGAAAAAGAAAAGGTGTGGCAACAAAGTCCCCAAAGCCCACCGACCACCTCATCCCCAAGCATGTCAAAGGTAAAGGACAACACGGCTCAATACACCAAAGCTACTGAATACCAGTTTGAAACAAAGCAAGCTCTTCAACTATACAGAAGATAATTTCTATTTGTCTGCCTAAGGATTGGTAGACAGATATGTGGCCTCAATTTTTAAGGCATGAGGCGCTGGTCTACATACTAGTCTGCTCTTCTGCTAATGAAAGGGTCATTCTTATACAATGCTTCACCACATGGAACAAAAAGACAGACATACAAAGGTTAAAGAGGAGAGGATGTGTTCCAAACAGTGCTCATTGTTAAGGTTTCAAAAGCAAGATAAATACAAACCCACTATCAGGCAGAAAAATTGGCTTACCTATTGAAATCGACAACACAGCTAACATCTTAAAAACAAATAATCTTCCCCCTCCCGGCCCAGTTTTGTATGGCTGAAAGACAAAGATGTTCCATACTACAGACATTCATGCAAAAATAAAATTGTTGCCGTCACTAAATGCGCTAGGCTAGGCCAATGAAAAGCAATTTAGATTCCATATTAGGGGCTCAGTGACCCACACAAATGGTGTCAGCTCCCTCATCTGGTTAAACTTCATCTCAAGGGCAATTAATCCCACATATAACCTTAATTATTGCTAGCTGAAATCCCACTGTCAACGACTTCAAAGACAAACTTGGCCTAGGCTATGTGATCAGAATTCTGCTGCCTCTGTATCGATACCGTAACTCAGGTGGTATAACACAGTCACTGGGACAGAAAAGCATCAAGGGACCCAAGCCTTCGAATGGAAACCGGTTTTCTATCCCACTGACACCACTGCTTATTCACTGGCAATTTACAACCCTTTCATAAGGTGGTTTCTCTAGAGAATTGCTGGAGAACATTACCGGTATCGGGCTGGGGACAGCTGCCACAACAATGCCAATAGGCGGAGGAGACAGAATCGCAGGACTTCCATTAGATATACTGGTCACACCATTGGTTGCAGTGCCTTCTGTTTTCTTTGCTGGAGACTCTCCTGGCAAAGGAGACTGCAGCTTCTGCTCTTGCTGCTTCTTCTGGATCTTACGCTGCAGCTGCTGCTTGGCATCAACAGGAGATGGCAGAGTTTTCACTTGTGGTTGAAAGGAATTACTTTCAGCAGTAGGTATAAAAGCTGAGGGCTGGGGGATCCCTTTTATTCCTGAATACAAAAGAAGAATAATAAACTATAACCACACATACCTGTCTGCTGTAGTGCTGCTTCTGTACCTAATCACACAGAATACCTGGCCAGGCGTCTCCACAACCATGCTGGGAACACCTCCTCCATGAGGTGCTCCCATCCACTTCATGCTCAAATCTACTCAGTGTTTCAGTTTATTTCCACATTTGGGGCAAAACCTCTATCTGTTAGACAAGCTGGTCGTTAGCTGCTAAAATACTACGTACTGGCACCTTGTTTCTAGTAATCCCAATTTGCAACTTTTGTGTCAGCAAAATCTAAAGCCCAATGCATTTTACTTAACTGACAGTAGAGGGCAGCAGGTAGGTTTTAGAAGAACGAAGAACCTTTCAAATGCATCATCTACCCTGTTTTTGTTTTGTTACCAATGTCTAAGGCAGCTTTAAAAATGAAAAAAAATCTTTCCAGAAAGCTGTGGGTCTGTGTCACAGAGGAGCAGCTCTGAGCAGCTGATATTGTCTAATGGCCAAGGCATTAAACACAACCCATATAATATCAGAATGTATTACAACCTGCCTGTGATCAGGGATAATGGTGAAAGAAGGGCAAGAGAACTGTCCAGGGAAAAAAGAAAAAAGAAGGAAAAGCTGAAAAAACTACAAAAATTAGAATGGGAGAACATTTTTTTCTGGAGACAATGCCTTTGCTGATCACAAGCAAGCAAGTGGTGCTTCCAGGGAGAACAACGGGGAGTTACGTCTCATCTGCGCAGCTGGTACCAATTTCCCTTACAAAAAAAATCGCATCACATTTATGATGTTTTGTTTATTAATAGTCAAGAGGATTACTGTGCTCTCTCATTGACCAACTAACCCTGTTGAACTGCCCCTCTAAAAACACTTTAACATAATTTCATTTACACTTCACAGGTTTCACAGTTTTTAAAATAACTCTTAATTATAAACTAATCGACACCATTTTAAGGCAAGTATTTGATTTTAGATATCCAGTACAGGCTTAGAACTGTGGTCTGGGAGCCCATCCTCTGAGCAGCAGTCTGCATGTATCATGAGAGCTTGAACACCACAACGTCTCCACTTTCACAACTGCTTCTTCACAAAGCGGTGAAATGCCCAAATACCTTGCAATTACCAGAAAACAATTCATCTATGTGGACTGAATACTGAAGGCAAGTAACGTTTATGAGAAAAAAACTCGAAAAATTTTTCTTTGAGGGTAAAAGTTTGCTTTTTCTTCAGGTAATGCACAAAGACACTATAGTTCCTTGCTATAAAAGAGGAATGGGAATATTTTATTTGCCATTCTAAAAAGAACCTCTCCTGAAATGACTATCCAAGCCAGAGACATGCACTAGAAATAACCGCCCTTTTCCTTGAAGGAAATCACCCTCTTTTGAAGGAAGTAAGGGGGAGAAGCTACATGAGTTAAAGAGCCGTACCTATACCTAGCGTTCCTTTTCGCAGCACGGCAAGCAGAACCAATGAAGCCAAGCAAAGACAGATTAAAAAAAAAAAGAGCATACAGGCAGCAAAACCCGCCACTGCCACCCATCAGTTCCAAGTTGCAATAAAGTAAAGATAGTTGCAAGGAGAAGGAATACGATCCAGAAAGGGATCACCCCAACCTACAGCCCTGACCACCAGTTTCCATTTGAAATCGCCTGTCTGAAGTCAAGAGATCTGCCTTGATCCAAACACATTTTGCTTGGCAGGCCTGGGAAGAACTTCCCAGAAGGAAGTCTGGGGGGCATGTTGTGCACCTGCACTTCCCTCCTCACTCCTCATTTTCGTAATTTACTTCATCCACAGCACCAAAAAACACTTTAAATGATTACATGACCGATTTTGAGCCTGAAGAGGGAAACAAAGAACACAAAAGTAGAGGTATGACCAACCACATCAAATGTAAGCTTTCCCAGAGACTGAATAGAACAGGAATTCATCTGATGTAGCAAAATACAAAATAACTCTTCTCTTTACCTTGATCCTTAATGAAGATTTGAAATCAAGTGCTGGAATCTCAGTCACACAACTGCCACCAGAGAAGGCTCTCCTGTCCCTCTCAATGCCCCTCAAGCCCTTATTTCTAATGGGATCAATATGATCAGCAGCAGCTGACATGCTTGTACTACCTGACACTGATCAAACATCTCAGGAAAATCTGCATCTGACATATCAGAAATGCCTGTAAGAAAATCTGCTCTTGAGAGAAAATTTAGACAGACAATTGTTTCCAAAGTAGGGCAAGTTATCAGACAGAAACACAGCCACACCAGCACTCTGTCTACAGACCAGCACTGTATCGACACCAAACTCCTGATCTAGCAAAGTACATAAATTCAGCACAATTACTCACATGCCCTGGAGTGCTTTAAAAGACCAGGGTCTTCATCAGAGGAACAGGAGAATCACAAACTAAACCTGAGACCACTGCTTATTTTCAGACATCTTTACCCAGACTACCAGCAAGAAAAGTAATTTGCAGCAATGTGGACTAAAATCACGTAAATGCATGTTCAACACTTGGAGTCAGTGTTTAAAGTTTGCCCTGAATAGAAGCGCTTCCTCAAACCAAGATGTTATTACTCTTTAAAAAAAGATCTCCTATTTCATCAATTCAGCATTACGTTATCTCTTTACCTGCTGGTGCCCCTGCCATCACGGTTAAAGCTGCCATTGACTTGGTACCGATATAGTGACTTTTTACAAGGAAACGAGCCAATTCCAAGACTGTATCAAAAGGCTGGCTCAGCACTTTCTGGGCCCATTCACAAACAAGCCGGCAGGCCGCAGAGACAACTTCCTCATCAGCACTTTCCAGCTGCCCAGATGGCTCTGCCCCATCCAACTAAAACAAACAAACAAACAAATGAGGAAAGGTTACTAATTACTAAAGGTCATTAAGGCATGAAAACAAAAACAGAGAGCAAATAATGAACAGAAACACATAAAAAGTTGAGTAAGTATGTTCACAGTTCTTCACAAAATTGGGAGAATGAGATCACAACATCAGTATCATTCAAAATGAAGTGCCTTAACATTAATCTACTGGTTGTTTCCAAAGGCATTATATGGAGCTGACATTGCTGGAAGAAAATCGCAGAGAGAATCCTAATATCTGGAGCACCAACAACTGATGCTCCCTGCATCCCGAGTCTTGTCAACTAAGCAGCCACTGTTGCCCAGGAATCACTGCTTTCACACT